AAACACTAATTGTGGTAAAATACTAATTGTGCTAACATCCCCCCTCAAACTCAAGATGGCAATGTATCAATCATCTGGAGTTTGCCAAATAGAGCACAAAAGTGAAGAGGAGAGTGAGCTTTGGTAAAGATATTTGTAGATTGATCATGGGAAGAGACAGGAATAAGACGAACAGTACCCTCGAGCACATGATGACGAATAAAGTGACAATCAGTCTCAATATGCTTAGTGCGCTCATGAAAGACTTCATTGTGAGCAATCTGTATGGCGCTACGATTGTCACAGTAAAGGGGAGTAGCAAATGAATGAGTAATTCCCATGTCATGGAGTAACCATCATAACCATAACAACTCAGAGGTAGTGTCAGCAAGAGCTCGATATTCAGCTTCAGTACTGGAACGAGAGACAACCATTTGCTTCTTACTACGCCAAGATATAAGAGAATCTCCAAGAAAGAAGCAATAACAGTAGTGGAGCGTCTATCAGTAGGATCACCAACCCAATCAGCATCAGAATATGCGATCAAATGAAGAGAGGAAGAACTGGAGTAGTGAAGTCCGTGAAACGATGTGCCCTTGACATAACGGATGATACGAAGCACAACAACATAATGAGTAGTGCGAGGAGCAGACATGAACTGACTCACAATATGAATAGCATAAGCAATATCAGGACGAGTAACAGCAAGGTATACAAGACTGCCAACTAGTTGCCAATATAAGGTGCAGTCACTAAGAGGAGTACCATCAATGGCTGAAAAATGGGCATTAGGCTCAATCGAAGTGTTAACAGTCTTAGTATCAGTGAGTCGTGCACGAGAAACAAGATCAGTGGCATACTTGGCCTGAGATAGATAATATCCAAATTGGTCGGAGGAAACCTAAATGCCTAAAAAATAATTCAATCGACCAAGATCTTTCATTTCAAACTGTTTGCTAAGAAAAGACTTAAGATCTGAAATGCCCTGCAAATCATCACCAGTAATGATCATGTCATCAACATAAAGGAGAAGAAGTACACAACCCTGAGAGGTCTTACGAATGAACAAGGCATGATCATAAGTGGTAGATTGAAAACCAAATTGACAAACAGTAGAGCTGAATTTGGAGAACCATGCTTGAGGCGCCTGCTTAAGTCCATATAGAGCCTTACGGAGACGAAAAATGTGATTAGGGAGATGATCATAACCAGGAGGGGGCTGCATATAAACCTCTTCAGAAAGATCTCCATTGAGAAAAGCATTCTTAACATCCATCTGAAATAGCTGCCAGTGCTTAGCAGCAGCAATCGCAATAAGACTGTGAATAGAAGTGAGACGAGCTACTGGGGCAAAAGTCTCATCATAATCAATGCCATACTCCTGTGTGAACCCTTTAGCTACCAATCTAGCTTTATACCTTTCAACTGAACCATCTGCCCGAGTCTTGATTTTGTAGACCCATTTACAACCGATCACAGATTTATCTGGAGGTAGGTCAACTAAATCCCAAGTATGAGTGCTTGTAAGAGCTTGAATTTTTTCTGCCATTGCTTTCTACCATAGAGGGTCAGTACTAGCCTTGTGATAGGTACAAGGCTCGTATAAAGATACAATGGTAGAATAACAGTGAAAATCACGAAGAAGAATGGAAGGTTTAGTGACCCTACCAGAATGATGTAGGGAAGTATCAGAATGATCAGGATCTAATTCCTCAGGAGGAATCAAGGGCTCAGAAGAAGGCAGAGCTAAAGGATCCATAGCCAAGGTAGATGCATCAGGAGAGGTTGCAGGTTGTGCAGTACTGTGTGAGCTATCAGATGAAGGATTAGTAGGACCAGCAGGTAAATCATCAGGAAAAAAACGAAATAGTAGGATCAGTAAAAAAATGTGAAGATGTTGTGGTAACTCGAAATGGGGAGAGACTTGAGAACATTTTGTGCTCCCAAAAGGTAACATGACGAGATATGCGAAGTCGTTGGGAAAGAGGATCCCAACACTGATATCCTTTATGTTCAATACCATACCCGAGAAAACAACATAAACATGCTTTTGGTTCCAATTTGGTATGTTCATGAGGTTGTAATAGAACAAAACAAGCACAACCAAATACATGTAGAGACTGGTAATCAGGACAATGGCCATACTACCGTTCATAAGGAGAAATGTTACCAATAACAGGAGAAGGAATGCGATTGATGGTATAAACAGCAGTGAGGGCTGTTTCCCCCCAAAAACGTTCAGGACAAGAGGAAGAGATTAAAAGAGTTCGAACAGTATGAAGAATATGCCTATGTTTCAATTCTGCACGCCCATTTTGTTGAGAGGTACCGGGACAAGATCTATGAATAATAGTTCCATTTTGTGAAAGAAACTGAGTAAGGATAGAATCTCTATATTCCATGGCATTATCAGTGCGAAAAATTTTGATGATAGAGGAAAATTGAGTTTTGATCATGGTGGCAAATTGAATATAAATTGCAGGTAATTCAGATTTATTACGCATAAGATAAATCCATGTATATCGAGAGAAATCATCAACGAAGATCACAAAATAACGCGAACCACCCATGGTATTATGAGGTGAAGGGCTCCAAATATCAGAATGAATAAGATCAAAAGGTGTAGAATAAACATAATCACTTATATTAAAAGGCAAAGCATGATGTTTTGAAAGAGGACATGAAACACAATCAAAGTGTATTGTTTTAACAGGATCCAAACATCCATTTGCTTGGTAGGAAGGCAATCCTGCTGACTACCACCACTCAACCTGGATGCTAGAGACTTCACAAAGAAAAGACCACCCCCACTCCACCTTCACCTCACAGAGAATAGTTCGAATACTATCACTGCTGCAAAATAAGAGAAAAGAAAGTCAAGAAAGTCACAGTCGCTGTCCGATGAATAAATCGAATTTTGGGGTGAAAAACAATCATCGTTAGTGAAGAAATCGAGCTCAAGCGATGAAGAAATCAAACTTCGGGGTGAAGAACAATAGTCGCCAGAAAATGACTGGAATATTTTGCGAAGTGGGATATTTCGAGTGCTATGAAAAGTATGGAATTGTAATGAATTGGCCAAGTAAGGGAAAAAATGGTGTTTCACAAATAGTTCAAATGATGCCCACGGGTAAAAATGTATTTCTACATATTTTCTGTCTTGATCACTGATGGAAGGGAGGTATTTGTTGATTTTTTTGAAAATAGAGGGGAGGCTTTTGTTAAAATGAAAGTATAGGGGAGATTTTTATGATTGTTAGAAACTTCAGGGGAGGTTTTTGTATTTTATCCATAAAATCAGAATGAATTTAGGATTCCAGCCATTAAGTATGTTTCAAATGTAAAAGATGATGTGGCAATATTGGATGGGACACAATTTTCTGTCCCATAGGGGACAAACCGTGCGAGCTTTCTAAACTTTCATACATAAAAAAGTGACCATGTATAAGGATAAGGTAAAATCCAGATTGGTACCATGTATTTTCGCTCAAGTGACAATTTAGTCTCCAAACTTTAAAATGCAACAATCCAATAACTGAATTTTCGAAATGCGACAATTGAGTACCTACTATTAACCATGTGTTAATAGCATGTGAAAATACACAAATTCCCTTTGGGTGTTATCTAGTTTTCTTCACCAACCATCCGTTCAAAATAGAATCAACTGTCAAATTTTTTATCCATTTTAATTTTTCCATCTAAAATCAAATCCTGGTCTTCACCATCAGATTTTATATCTCTTCTCAGCCGTTTCTTCACCTTTGTCTTCATCTTTAATACTACTTGCGTTAGCCTGAAGAGACGAACTGAAGAGTCCTCTGCATCGACCAATTTCTTTGGATGATCATCACTCCCTTCTTAATATGTCAACACACGAATTTTTTTGGATCCTACAAATTCCAACAATACAAAGTTGATTAACATATGCTCTAACCAAGGCTCCAGGTTTCGTTTACAGATTTAATAGTGAGAGAGACCACCATAATCTGAAGCTCCTATCCCATGGCATATTTCTATGTCCAAGAACGGGTAGTTGCTTCATTCTTTTCTCTATCAGTCTTGTACATGTGGGCAATCTCAGGAAACAGGGGATCGTCTGGGTTTGGATCAGTTAGCAGAGGGCAAATTGACAATAACACTGTGGATATTGTAGGGCAAGATTCCGTTGCTCTTTCAGAATGTTAATACAAATTCTCCCATTATTGTTGATGCTGGAATGGAATACATTGGTACAAAAAGAAACCTTTGGCGGCTTGAATGGGTAATCTGGTGGAAAATGAATAGTTACTAGAAGCACACCACACAAAGGGACTGTTCGATGATTGTTGCTTGCCAGTGGAACATGTCTTCTGCCGGACCAGCACTGCAAGAGGTGGGAGGATCTTTCTGCAGATCCTTCAGCCTCTTTTGAATCCATTTTGAAGCCATTGATGATTGTAAAATGTCTAAAGAAAGAAACAAGGTTAACACTAAGTGGAGAGAATTTTAGCATATGCTAGGGTTCTTCCCCTTTTTCTGTTTATTAGTGTTTTGTTCTTCTCATGATGGTTTATAGGGAGAAAACATGAAGTGCATTGCACTGCTAGGGTTTTCATGGAGAGATCAAGTGGAGTATCTGATAGTTTTTCAGAACTTAGATTAAGAGCTGCTGTAGGAAATGCACAAAACTTGCTTCTATTTTATTTTCTCGAGAAAGAAGATGATGAACAGTGTTTTATTTTTAAGAGATAATTTTAACATTTTCAAAAGTGTTAATAGCACATGATGTCACATGATTACACAACATAATAGACGGTGGTTGGTTAAGATAGATACTAGATTGTCGCGTTTCCAAATTGTCGAGCGAGGCAAACTGGCAAAGTAGAGATCGAATGGTTGAATGGAATTGTTTTGGACGTCTTAGAAAAAAGAATAAAAAGACAACAAACTTTTGACTCTGATCCGTTCGAGACTTCTTGTTTTATTTGAATTGMCAAATTCTTTTACAAGGATGAATTATTAAGAAGGCTTAAGCAAGGAAATAGTAGAAAATCAAACGTGAACTATATATTAATTTAAATAAAAGAAGATCGGAGAGATTTTTAATTCTCTCGATCGGTAGAACTTTCACGTCTTAAAGTTTGATTATTTATACATACAAACCTTGTTTGAATCCAAATGATAAGCAAATTGATACACACACAACAAAATAGAAAAAAAAAAAAACATATTACAGACAACTAATCCTAAATATGTCTTTTTCTTCCAGCTTCTCCGTGTGTTCTCAGGGTCACCACAACCATCTCTTCAGTCCTTGGGTTATCAATCTGTGGAGAAACTACATTCAAGTAAGCGCATGAGATAACCTGAGACGAGAAGATCCATATGTTAAAGAAGATACATAACGTGGCCATGTATAAGAATCATGAGAGAGAGAGAGAGATGGCAACGTTTATGCTTACCAAAGTGGTGTCCTGACCTCTGCAACTTAAAGGTTGCAATCTACACGAATCAAATATATTCACGAATCATGGTTCCATCACTTTCCAGACGA